AAGAGGGCTCTGTCTTATTAAATGCCAGGAAAGTATCATCTTCCTTCACCAGAGGGAACAAACGGAACAGAGTGGAATAGCCATGGTGCGGCCCGTTTTCCTCTTCACTGTCTTAGTCAGATCTTCACAAAACTCCTTCCTATAGGAAAGGGACGTTCTCTGCCCCTTACCTCCAGGTCATGTCCCACCTTTCCCTTTCTCACTAACAAAGGCTGTTCACTCCATAGCACTTATTTCCAAAGCCCATAGTCCGACTGCTTAGGGTAGCACCCCCCTCAAAGGCACTTGGAAAGATAGGAGAGAGGGTGGGTGCGTTTTCAGCCAGACACCCTGAAGTCTGTGTCTCTGTGATTAGAAGGCGTTGGGCTGTTAACTTCTTGGGACCTTCGTTCCCTCACTCATAAAATGAAGATAGTGGTAATAGTTATCTCCTGTGATCAATGAAGGACCAGTTCCTGTTAACTAGGCAAATGCTGAGTGTGTGCACTATTAAGGAAGTTTGTAGAATAGTCTTGGGGTGCTTAGAAGGGATCTTGGAATGAACTGATGACACTTTGTTCTAAAGAGGTTTTTTGTTGTTGTTGTTGTTGTTGTTTTAACAGTTAATTAATCCGTGCCCATTAGAATTGGAAACTTGGAATCATTTTATCCCAGTGGCTTTCCCATTTGTTTCCCAAGTGAGCCTTTATCTTGCATCCTGTATAAATCCTCAAAAAGTTGAGTTGTTTCCTTTAAATGGCAGCCCAGCTCCATTGAATGCATGAACTTACAAATATACATAATTTATAATCAAAGTGACTCAGGTCGGAACAGACAGAGAAGGGGCCTTTTTTTTTTTTTAAAGATTTTATTTATTTATTTGACAGAGATCACAAGTAGACAGAGCGGCAGGCAGAGAGAGAGGGGGATGCAGGCTCCCTGCCGAGCAGAGAGCCTAATGCGGGGGGCTCGATCCCAGAACCCTGGGATCATGACCTGAGCTGAAGGCAGAGGCCTTAACCCACTGAGCCACCCAGGCACCCCCGAGAAGGGGCCTTTTGATTCGTGGGGTTTCCTCCATGTGTTAAAAGTGGAGTATCTGGAAACTTGAAGATACCTAAACAGAAGTCAAGGTAAGGGTTGGGAAAGTCTCTTACAAATGAAACTCCGTATGTGCACAGATCTTTGTGGTAGTAAGAATGAAGTCAAGAGTAGGCTGTGAATTGTAATTGGTTCCCTTTTTCTTAGCAGTTCCCCCAAAGAAAAAAGAAAACATCTATAATTTTACCTTTTTCTGTAGAAAGAGAATGAGTTTTTTAAAAGTAGGATAAAAAGACAAAAGTAAGATGATAAAAAACTCTGGCAATTATTCAGTCATATTGATCTTAAAATATAGGCTTTATGTACTTTTTTAGTATTAATATTTCTGGTATTTAGACCCAGAGTGTTTGGGAAATTAAAACTTGGGCAAACTAGTGTTTCCCACGGGGTTGCTTTGTGTGTGTGTGTGTGTGTGTGTGTGTGTGATTTGTTATTAGCTATATTTACATTTCCCCAGCATTTATGTCATTCTTGACATTGTCAGAACAAAAACCAGGTATGAAATGCCTGCAGATTTATAATCCAGCAACATACTAACTTGCCTCTTGTGTTTTTAAATGTCTTATTGAAGTTGTGTTAAATCTGGGTTGTACTAACAATGATAAATTTTTTTTCTTAAATCTTATGTAGAAGTTATTGTGACAAATACTTCTAGAAGCTATTTTTATCTTCAGAGACCATCAGCTTAAGGTTGTTCTCCCTAGAAATTGGGATTTGCTTCTAGGGCTCCAATAGTTTCTTATCTCTTTCCTAGCCTCATCTTAGAATTTTTAGAAGTTTTAAAATAAAAGATACAGAAGCATTTTAAAAGTACATAACTTTCTGTTATTCCTTCCCAAAGAATCAAAGTTTCAGGCTTAACAGAAAACACACCACTTAATTATTTTGTGGTGACTAACTAGGATGCTTTTGGAAGAGGATTTTATAAAGGGTTCTGGAAGAAAGGCATAGAGTGAGAGAAGCTTTAGGAGCTAGCCAGCAGCCCCCCTCCTCCACCCCGCAGTCCCACCACCCCCAGAAATGGTTGAAAGGGGAGAAGTATGCTAAATACACAAAGTCCTCTTAGGATCTACCTTCCTTGCTGAGGTCAGAAGTACATAAAGATTGCTCTAGAGACCATCATTGTTCTCTTTGGTTCAGATTCTGATGGCGTTGTCCCCAAAAGGCCAAATTTTATTGTATTGTATTTGTTTTTAGTTTTTTGTAAAGTAATCTCTGTGCCCAACGTGGGGCTTGAACTCATGACCCTGAGATCAGTAGTCACATGTCCTACCAACTGAGCCGGCGGGGCACCCCAGAAGGCCGGATTTTAAGTACTTTAGTTGAAATTTTTCTGGACTCCTCCCTTAGTAATGCCGGAGTCCAAGTGAATGATTATCACAGACTTCTCAGTACATGCTGTGGCGTAGATGGCAGAGCTTTTATCTCTAGGTCTTGTTCCCAGCCTAAGTATCAGACCTAGGGAAAACACTTCTGATTGCCTTCAGTGGAATATTCCGGGATTGTGGGTTTTTGTTTTCCACGGGTAATAGGGAAGGACCATCAGACGTTACTAATCTGTAGCCGACATATTTTATTCATTCCACAGCTATATTTTGAGCACCTACTATGTGCCAGACCCTGTACTAGGCACTCAAGGTACATCAGTGTTAAAGATCATTGCCTTCTTGAAGCCTACCTTTGAGTTAGGGGAAGAGAGCATAGTAGTTAACGTAATAAATAAGAAACTTATATGGAATGTAACTAGTCTGCTTGGACTGCCGTGTCAAAATACCAAAGACTTGGTGGCTAGAACAAAGGAAACTTACCCCTCACGGTTCTGGAGGCTGGAAGTCTGCTCAAAGTGTTGGCAGGATTGGTTTCTCCTGAGGCTTCTCTTTTTGGCTTGACTTTGGCCACCTTCTTGCTTCTTGCTTCATGGTCCTTCCATGATCTTTCTTCTGTGTGAGTGCATCCCTGGTGTCTCTTATAGGACACCCATCGTGCTGGATTAGGGACCTACCCTCCTGGCCTCATTGAACCTTAATTACCTCCCTATCCCCAAATATAGCCCTGTTGTGGGTTAGAGCTTCAACATAAGAATTGGTGAGGGTGGGCACAATTCAAGCCTTAACCAGAAGTTACCAGGGGATAAGTATTTTGGGGAAAAAAAGGAAGATAAAAGTAAGATAAGAGAGATTGGAAGTACCATGGGGCGGGGATTGCAGTTCTGAACAGTGTAGTCAGGATAGACTTCATTGAGAAGGTGGCACTTGAAGGTCAAGTTACATTCAAGTGTTGTTATAGCACAGGGACCAGAAGTGGAAGAATGGTGTGGTGGAGGTAGGTAAGGTGGAGGTAGGTAAGGGACATAGAGCAGGCAGCTCGTAGAACTAGATTCTGGTCCCAGCTCTGCGTCTTTTTGGTGGTAAAACTTCCAAATGTCGTCACCTTAGCTCTCCAGAGTCCAGTTTCTAAATATGCTCGTCTCTGTGAACTTGGAACTCCAGAATGTACACCCTTTGAGGGCACAATGGAGAAAGGATTTTGTGCTTGTGTACTGGCTAGAGTCGGTGATGGGTAACAAGTTAGAAGTTCTTGCTTTGGAGATTTATTTTTATCCTCTTATTTGTTAAGTGGGAGTGGGCTTCGGGTTCACTCTCGTGAGCGTTACTAAGAACTCTGTATTAGGATGAGCTTTTCTTCTCAAAAGACATCTAGTATAACCAACCTAAAGTTCCGATTACATGGCCTATTAGAGGGGAGCAAGCTGCCTGGGAAAGTGGCCAGTGGTGGTGGAGAATACTTGTCCTCTTTGGTCTTTTCCAGGGAGTGTGTAGCTCAGTGGGTGAAGGCCTGCTATCGTGTAGCCAAGCCACAGAAGCCATCCCATAATAGGCCAGTTAGCTCTGCCCTGACCACATACTCCACGCCAACCAACCACGCTAAAAATGGAAAAAAGGACATTAGTGGAAAAACTGGTGAAATCTGAATAAAATCTGGAGTTTAGCTCATAGCATTGTGAGTTTCTTAATTCTGACAAACATACCATGCTTATGTAAGATGTGAACACCGGGGAATGCTGGGAGAAGAATATATGGGAACTCCTTGAACCATCTTTGGAACATCCCTGTAAATCTAAAATTACTTCAAAATAAATGGTTTTCTTTTTTTTTTAAATGCCCCCTCGTGAGGGGCACCTGGCTGGCTCAGTCAGTGATGCGTGCTACTCTTGATCTCAGGGTTGTGAGTTCAAGCCCCAAGTTGGGCATGGAGATGACTTAAAAATAAAATCTTAAAAAAAAAAAAAATGCCCGTCATGGTCTCAGAGATGACTTGAGCTACAGATATGGGTTTATTCACCGTGACTGGAAAAACAGTTCCAAGTGTGTGCCCCAGTGTTGGTGGGTCAGAAGCATCCATTCATAATGAGGCAAAGTGGGATATTACTAGTCCGAGCTTCTCTCTGGCAAATTCTTCCTCACCTTACCACCCACCCCAGGTTTTTGCTTTGGGTATTGCCTCTGACTCATGTTTATTTTGAGGATTTTATGACAGCATAATTGCCTGAAAGCATTATTTTAGAATAAGATTAAGTAGGGGAAAGCCTCACAGGTCAGTGAGGCGGCAGCATTTATACAGGAAAGAAGACATTTAGGGAAACTAGAGAGAAAAATGTCCACTTTGTAGAGGCAGCTCTTCTTAAAATATGATCTCTTCCAAAGATTCGGAAGTGCACGTTCTTCAGAGTCCGCTGCTCATGGAGTGTATTGTATTTTTTCCTGCCCAGGTCCCAGCCTGTTTTGATCGGGTTGTGGTCCCTCCTGCTGTCAGCACAGTGTGATTGTGCATTCCATGTTTCATAAAGTCTGGGGGCAGCTAAGAGGGGGAGTGGCCTTTTGTATATGTATGTATATACAATGCCTTTCTTCTTTTGACAGCTGCAAATCAGAAGGAGCCCATGAATCTTAATTTTAAAGTGAAAGAGGAGCCCAAGGAAGAGGAGGCCTTAAGTGCCACTTTGCCTCGGTCCAGCTACGTGTTCAGCCCGGAATCGGAAGTGCCGGCCCCAAGCATCTCTGAGGACACCCTTAAGCCCCAGGAAGGGAAGGGGAATGTGCTAAGGCGGGATATGTCCGTCAAAGCAGCGTCTGAACTTCTCATGAAACTATCAGGTACTTGATTTATTCTAAAATATTCACATTCTGCTCATTTCATTTGTAGCCAACTGGGCTGCTTCCTGCATGGGTTATAATTAGCCTAATGGTAGCAATATCACATTATTGAGGCGAATTCAGGAATGACTGGGTGCTTGGCTCTCATTCCTGCGTTGTGCGTACGAATTTGTTTGCAGATGTTGTCTGTGTACCTGGTCTTGTGAAATACAGCCTTCTTTTCCTGTAAATTGTTGGAAAACACTGCTGCTTTCTAAGGTGATGCAGGTCATAATCTTGAGTGCGTTCTAATGACATGCAAAGCACTTTTGTTAATTGATCAAAATATCTATTCTTTCCTAATAGAGGGCCTTTCTTTTTGTGTGTATTTATGCTGTATTCTTTAAGAACCATTAAAAATATGTTTCTTAACTTAATAAGCAGTTGAGATGGTGCTTGTAGTAATTAGCAATAGAGGAGCAGTAAGAGATTTTATGAAGAGAAAATTTCATAGTGGACTATTATAATAATCTATTTCTTAGGATGAATGAACACATTTTTAGTAGTATCTAAATGTAATCTACCTGTCAGAGATAGGAGAATGGGTTATAATTTGAAATTCATCTATTTTGGGTTCTTTTCCGATCTCCCATCTGCCCCCCTTAGAGCATGTAAAAATTTAGTGTCTTTTAAATTCAAAGGTGTGACTTTCAGAGCATGGAAAGAAAAGTCGTATCAATAATAATATTCTTACCAAGTCATATCCCAGCCTCAGTTCACTAACAGCAATTTTTTAGAAACTATATTCAGAATGCTAATACGAATGAAAAACTGTTTTTAGTTTGTAACTCCCAGTGTTTGGAGGATGAAAGCAAGAGATGCATTAGGGATCTTCCCTGTAATTTCCTCGGTGCCATTCTGACGGTGTTTCTGGTTGACCGGTAGGTTGGAAAGTAAGAAATTAATAGTGGTTTTCTTAGAGCCATTATATCAGAACAGCTGAAATTCCTGTATTTGCCAGTTGGTGGGGTTAAGAATTCCTTCCTTTGATGTTAATTTAGAACACACTGGAACTTCAGGGGAACATGATTTGTGATAGAGAAGCAGAGTACAGTTATGACATCCTTGTTATAGCTCCGTTTCTCTAAACTTTACAGTGATTGTACAGCTTCTTTTTAGCAGATGGGAGGCCTAGCAAGACTGTGCTGATTGCTGAAAGCTGAAAATTTAAAAATACAATGTTCAGGCCGACATATTTTCTTATACTTAAGCCCTGCTTCCTGTGTCAAGAGGTCTCAGTGACATAGGATAATACGTCTGTTGTTTTTCTGATCAAGTCCGGGGGGTCACGCAGCTCTCTGATTCTTCTTCCATAGCATAGGCTTTCACACTGCAATGACCCTCTTCCAACAGTGGCTCCGGTCGGTAGGATCCCAGTGTATGCTATTTCTGTTTCAGAGTTTGCTGGGCAACCAGTACTGTGAGCAGAGAGAGGTGGGGTGGCCCCAGAAGATAATATGCCAAAATGAGATTTCAGGGAAAATTTTCTTTAAGGAAAACATTTTATCCTAATCTTTTTAGCTGATGTGATTTTGGACACTGAAGTATGAAATCATTTCCTAGATAATAATGAGATCCCTCAAATAGAATATGGCCATACAGCCATACAGCCATGCACGTTTAATGATATTTGTGGACAGCAATGGCCCTTCTAAATGTTTATGTTCATGTCAGCTTTTGCTGAGTTTATGTGCTGTGGAGTTCAGTGACTATGGATGACATAGTCATATCTCCAAAAGGTGTCTGCCCTGCTTCCTAGTGTGGAGATGAAAATTTCTTTGAAAGACTAAGGTAACTATTTTTTTTTTTTTTAACCCCAGAAAAAAATCCTCCAGCGTTCTTTGTGCAAGAGACTCGGGTCAAAGAAATAGCGTCCCAGCCCCTGTCCTCTAAATGCATATGGTCTAGTCAGAAGTCCAGGGCAATGGAATCCATTCAATAAACGTTTTGAACTTTGAACTCCATACTTCTACACCCTAGCAGACTATGGTCAGGTAAACTGTGAAGTTTCCAAGTCAGTCCTAGAAAGAGACATGTGTCTTAAAAACAGGTGTCTTTTCATTCCTAAGCCCCAAGGTAAAGGGGACTCACTCTTTATTGGGTTTACAGGATATTAGAGTTTCTTATCATAGATGGCTCAGTGCTCTTGGAAGAAGGATGTAAGGGGAAAACTTCCTATATTCTCTTTCCTCCAGCTGCAATTTAACAATTTCAGTATTCATGTCCTGAAAGGCATCCACATAAAGAACTTGTCCGTGTCTTCAAGTCCCCCTTCCCGTGATAGCTCCTGTCCCTCAACAGACAAGAAGGATAATTCATCTCCCAAAGCAACCATGCAGGTTAGTCAGGGATGCCTTAGATTCATCTCAGCTGATACCCCAAAGCCTGGCTGCGGTTGTTCTCATAAACACGAGTCTCTACTGCTTCCTGCCTTACTAATTTCCATGTATGGTCGTCTACCACATTGAGGAAAATCCTTTTGGCCAGGAAGAGTTGGGTGAGTGAGAAAAGTATGCCCCATGCGTTATCACACACTTTGTTTCTTCTTCCAGTTTTGACCAAAGGAATAGCCAAAATGTGGAATAAAAGGCCTTCTCTTCTTTGTTTTTTCTTTCCTTGAGATTAGAAGCTGTGATCTGTAGTGTGGGCCCTCGGTCTTTTCACTGAATTAATAAGAGGAAACTGGTCAACAATTTTGGCTGCTTCATTTCCAGTTTTAAATTAATTTATGTTAACTCCTTAATGATGGATATTGGGCACAGGGCCCAGTCAAACATCATGTGAGACCTTCCTGGGTGGAGAAATGTCTGTAGGTATATTGTTTTCCAAATCGACATTTACATTTTATGAGAAAAACACAGATGAGGTAGAGGCTAGGCTAAGTTTTTCATTAACTGTGTGTTTGGGAAAATCTGAGTTTTCTTCCTTCCTGCGGCTCAAGTTCTACTTCCAGTTGTTAATTGGGAAGTCAAGTGCCTGACAGCTGGGCCAAGTAAATTGATTACCATAAAGAAAGCAACCCACTCTGAGGAAACCGTTGGATGTCTGTGACTACCTGTTGTTATGTGACACAAGGCAGCCAAAACAATCAGACTTTTCTGCTAAAGTGCAGAGTTGCCAAAGATAATTCCCAGAAACCTTGATTCAAAGAGGCCAAAATCCTGAAGTTCAGAACAGAGGATCTGTAATATTAGACAGACGAAGAGAATCCTGTCACTGTGAAACCCTGGTTTTGCAACATCGAGCGACCTCACAAACTTCTGGAACAGATGTGTTATCATAGACGTGATGCAGTGCTGAAGGTGACACAAAACGTGATATGTTCAGTCTCTGTTGTGTGGGAAGAGGAGTAGCCAGACACACAGACATGAAGAAATGCCCCTTCTCCTTTTGGGAAGCCACATGTTTGCATGTGAATGAATGCATAAAATGTACCATGTAGGTGGTTGGATCTAGAAGTGGCGGGTTAAAAATGCCATTTTAAACATAGGAATTCCACAAAAATAAAAGCTGAAGTTATTTCAGAAGCATTAATGAAAAATTAAGCACTTAAGTTTCTCTAACATGGTAAATAAAACTTCATATTAGATCTCAATTCGAGACACCCCTATAGGTTTTCTTATTTCTGTGCACAAGGAAGGAAACCAAGTCGATTTCTATTCATTTCTGATTTATATTCATTTATCCCAGTCTAGTCTTAGAGAGAAATATAAATTATAATTGTCTCACATAGAAAAATCCAAGCAGGCCTGGTTTTGAAATACATAAAGATGTTGTGAAATATATATATATATATATATATATATATGTATATATATATAAAATTATGCATTATAATATATATTATGTATATATATAAAATAATTTTTCTTTTAAAGTAATGTCTACCCCCAACATGGGGCTTGAACTCATGACCCCAAAATCAAATTACATGTTCCACCGACTGAACCAGTTAGGCGCCTTATAGCTATGAAATATTTAGAACCAGATAAACTTGGGTGGAATGAAGTTTAAGGTGAGGTTAATCTCTGCGGTGAACTGAAAGAGAGAGGAAAGAGACCCCAAAATTGATTTTATTAACCATTTTAATTGTGGCCCTTTTGGTGGTACATAATAAATCCTCTTCAGCCAGTTTAGGCAAGCGAGGGGAATTTAATAGAAGGTGCCAGGTTTGGGGTTAACTTATGGAACCCCCAGAGCAGGGATGCAGAAGGGCGTGAGTCCTTCACTGAAGCTGGGGTCTGGAAGACCATATGGAAACCAAGATGCTCTCACTCCCTACCTCATCCCTGCTTCTCTGTGCATACAAATGGACCTTTTCTGTTGCCCAGCTCACACGGTGGAAAATGAAAATTTCTTGCAGCATCTGAGTTTGCCTCTTGTTCAAAAGAGGAGCCAGACAGAAATTTCTTAGTCCCAATTCCAAACTCCAGCTGATTGCCTCAGCTGTAGATGGGATCCACCAGTGGAAACTTGTACTTTCACTAGGGATGATAAGAGCATGTGGGGCAGACATGGCTGCAGTCATATAGGATGGCCGGGAGGGAGAAGAACCCCCAGAAATGCATCTTGGGTGGGCAAGAATGGAGGTGGCATGAAACCAGGAAGATAAACAATATGTATGAACCACAAAAGTCTGAGGAGCAGATTATGGTAATTGCTGTTATTTAAATATTGAATGTAAATGTGTTTTGGCCTTTGGATGACTTCTACCTTTCTTTTCCGGTAGACTCTTGGGGAAGAGCCGCCCAGCCAGGACTTTGCCTAGCCAGGCTCTCTGCTCTGTAGGTGGTGAGGCAGGGCTTCTCAAAGTGTGGTCCCCAGACTGGCAGAATCATCATGGGTGGGGGAGGACAGGGAAATGTTCGAAATGCAAATTCTTCAACTCTATTCTGGACCTCATTGAAACTCAGAGGTTGGAGGCCCAGCTGTCTGTGTTTTTGCAAGCCCTCCATGTGATC